TGGCAACTGCGATGCGGAACCCCACCCAAGATGAATAATTATGGGCGATCTTTATGCTAGCACCGGCTCCTCGCTGGGACCGTTAATGCTCAAGTTGAGTCGCGGGGTTCCAGGGTTCCAGGGCTTCACGGAGTTCCTTGGGTTCCATGGGCCCGGAGCAGGAGGAGGGCTACCTGCGGCGTTTCCTCAGGCATTCCTGAAATTTCCTTCCTTCACCTTCAATTGATGCGCTCGAGTCGCGCTTTGTTAGCAGATATATTCACGCGTATTCCGCCGAAACTCGCTAATGGTCACAGCAAGTCGTCCGATACGTTGAACTGAAACCATGTTTCACCTTGGTCCCCGCCTGTGTTATTAATGATGGAAATTTGAAAATACAGAAGGTTCAATAATTGCAACATCATTGGGTCTTCGATTTCTCAACCTTCGGCTGACTTTTGTCCCCGGCCGTAAACAAATTGCCAGGCATTTCGCCACACTTTCCGATGCCAATCCGGACTTGAAAAACACACGCGCGTCCCTGAGATATATGTATCCCGATCCCGATCCCGATCCCGATCCGGATACCGATCTACCTACAGTCCGCAGAGATCCGATCGGCAGCACTGCGTTTATATTGCAGCAATTTCGAATCAATTGAATAGTTTCCACGAATGCGCACAAAGGCCATAAAACGCGTCGCGTGGTGAAGGCGCGTAGCTGCAGATACGCAAACTATGAGATATTGTATCTGGCGGAAGGACAAACTTCTGCTTTTTCGCCAACTGCAACGACTCACCTTCACTTCGCCCCTGCCCGTTTGCCCGTTAGCCCATTGCCCATTTGCCTGTTTGCCCGTTTTATTGGCCTTTTTGTCGTCGCAATTCACGTGTAAAACACGCCGACTGCCCGCTTCCCTTTCGGCCAACTCCCCCTCCCCGTTCCCTAGCAAAAACTGCACTCGAGGATCGCGCGTGCGCAGCTCTCCATTTGTTTGCATTGCGCACACGCCTTCCTCGGCACTCTGGACTTCCTTTTCAGCGGCGTACGCCGGAATCCGGGACGCGGAATCAAGTAATGGACAAACAGATCCATTGTCGATTTCCCCGAATTTTCGGCGCACGAATCAAGTTATTTTAGCACTTGCCAAGGCGACTCGAAAGTTGGTAGTTGAAGTGGCCAGGGTACTGAATTGGTCAAAGTCCTAGAACAGCTTTCCCCAAACAAGGTATTTTAGAAAATGGTTCCCGAGCTCCTTCATATTTCTGCATGTTTATATAATTATTCACAAATTTCTTCATATTTCTGCATATTTTATATAATTATTCAGGAGTTTCTTCATACTTCTGCATATTTTATATAATTATTCAGGAGTTTCTTCATGTTTCTGCATATTTTATATAATTTTTCAGGAGTTTCTTCACATTTTATATAATATCCCCGAGTTTCTTCATATTTCTGCATATTTTATATAATTATTCCCTAATTTTTTCGTATTTTATATAATTATTCCCCAATTTGTCTTGTTCATTCTTAGCCCCTTGAAGTTAGCCACAATTACAATCTATCGTTAGTCGTGCCGAGCAAAACTCTGATTAGAGCCATTCAAATGGTTGCTTATCGAGTGCAATCGCAGCCCTTGAAGCAACAGACAAGTTGCAGTTAAGCTCCCGTCTGCATGTTTGTTGCAGTTAAGCTCCCGACCAGAGGAGCTCCTTCAGGCCAAACCCCCGATAAGCTATCGCCGATTGTGTGCCCCTTCGCTGGAGCAGCTTTTATCAGCTGAAGTCCATCGAGTGGCACCCACAAGTGGCAGTGCGCTTCAGGTGCACGTACCAAATGCCCCAAACCGAAGCGAATCGAAGCGAATCGAGGCGATCCAAGCCAAAAACCAATTCAAGTAGCTCGTGCAGTTCACCTTCGGCACTCGACGGGGCACAGGAAACTGCAGCTCCAAGTGACCGCCACTGCAACTGCATTTCGGACTCGAGATTGGCCAGTTATCTGCTGTCAGTCCTCCTCCGCCTCCGCTTCCTCCTCAGTTGGTCAGTCCAGCAGATAGCTACCCGTCATTGTCCGGGGGCACGAGCTCGATTAGTTGCTGGGCAAAGGTGTGCACTGGCAGAAAAGAGGCACTACGAACAGACACAGCCTGCACTGCTCATTCGCCTGAAGTTCAATAACTCAAATCCAAGCGGATACCACAAACTCTCACTTCATTTTCCGAGTGTACTGTTTGCCTTTGACCGGACGTTAATTGGATCACCCAGCTGGACCTGGAGCCCAGTAGGAACTACTCCCGGTTCCAATCTTGGCAGCTGTCTGCCGAACGACGCCCGCTGGGCACACATGTCCTGCCCTTTGCTGTGTCCTCCTTTGATTGCCTACTAATCCTGGCCATCGATGCTCGGCGACAATCGACGTAAACAGCCAGACAAATGGGCAAACAAATGAGCCGGGCGTGTGTCCTTAAACGAGCCAAATTGGATCATAACTGCGAAATGCTGAAATGGTGAAATGGTGAAATCTGTGCAAACAGCGCTCTAATTAAGTCCTGCGGAGGGGGTCCCCCGCAAACAGGACATCGCTCCAAATAGCCGACCATTAAAGCCGCACAATGTGGGCGCGTGTTTTCTGAATGGCGTCACTAGAGTCTCCGACTTGGATCGGACATTTGGATAGAGCATTTTGGGGGAAGTAGCATGTATAACTGACGTCAGCTGGTTGCTGTAATGTCGTAAAATAATCTAGCCAGCTGATAAATGAACTAGAAATGTGCTATTTTTGTACTTTATCGGGGTGCTCATTTAAAAAATGGAAAACTAAAAACTTGCAAGTCAGATAAGACGAAATTATTCATGTGTCAAAATCCGGGGGGTGGAGCAGCGAAGGAGCAGGGCCTTGGGAACCTTGGGTTCGATCCACTGAAACGAGCCTGGCGATAAGCCAAGACCAGAAGTGCGTTCCCATGTGTATTTGAACCCTCGTGCCGCCCAGATTTCGGAACCCATTCCCCGACAGAAACTGAAACAGAAACTGAAACAGAAACTGAAACAGAAACTGAAACAGAAACTGAAACTGAAAGAACGCAATATCAGCAAGCTGCGCTTATAATGGGGGCGAAACTACCGATCGAAGCCACTCACAGCCACCAGAATCAACCAGAATCAGCATCAGAACCAGAGCACTCCATTGAAATATAATTGCTCCCATGGGCACCTACTTATCGCCAGGAATGTTCGTTTTTAATTGCCACGCTTTGTTGAAATACAATTTGCCTTTGTAAAATTTAACACACTTTTTATCGAGGAAATGATAAAAAAAAGAAAAGACGAACACTTACCGAGAAGAAACACTTAGCGTTAACTGGCTGCCATCAAGTGTGAGAGCCAAAGCCAATCGGCATCGAAATGGCCTGGGAAGTGGGTCGATACTACGCCCACTCCCATCAGCTGGTGGTGGGGCCACTCCAACGCCCTACTCCCAACCATTCGGATCCCTTTCAATTTTCCCAACGAGCCATCATCGAACGACTCCAATCCAATTACTGCTGCAAGCCAATTCATCTTGCGTCCTCAAAAGTATGGCACACTCGAAAGTGTGATTTTCTAAACTCTACGTTTCAAAATATAGGAAATATTTCATATATTTTATGAAACATTTCCAGCAAAGGTTGAAGCAAATATGACTCAAGTCGATAAATCGGGTTGAGTTCGATGGATAGTAAGTTAACTTAGCACTTCTAAAGATACGGATTATTTAGGACAGTAGCCCGTCGCCTTGGCTATACGAATTCCTTGTCCCTTGGGACTTTTCTCCGAGTGCATTTCTGGGCAGGGCCAGGCACTTCGAATTACCGCCACTAATCTTGCGGGCATGTCACTGGGATCCGGCCAGACCAGCAACAAGCCCCAGTGCCCGAATCCAAACCCGAGTCCAGATCCAAATCCAAAATCCAAAATACAGCGACCGACGAGCGCAGCTCAAAGTGCAAAGTGCACTTGACAGACAGCCAGCTGCAGCAGCTGGCGAATGTATCTGCATGTGTAAATGTATCTGTAACTCTGGGCGGATATTCTTGCGATGCCTGGCTGCGTTTCGAATGGCAATTGCATTTATTATCGCTCCACATCGCTTGCGGTTCAATTAACGCTTACTACTGTCCATTATCGATGTGTTTTGAGGGCGTATTTCCGCATCGCCATCGCAATTCAATTGTCCAGTCGAATATCTTGGGGCCCTTTTGCAATCGTCGTTGAGACAGTTGACTCAAGCAGACACTTCATTTGATTTTATAATGGATACTTGAAGCCTGGACATGAATAGTAGGATTTCATGCATATGGGGTCAATTAATTAAATTATGCATTAAAATAATGAACTAAAATTGTAAATATAAAGAAAATTGCTGGATTACGAGTAATTCGATTTATATTCCTGAGTTTAAAAGGGTTTTCATCTTTATTCTGATAGTACTTAATATTTTAATTTGAATCTGGGCAGTATAAGTGGCGCCACCTGTGCTGAGCTCTGTGAAACCTGGTGGCAACTTGGTGGCAAAATTATAAACATAAGGAAAATTGCTGGATTACGAGTAATTCGATTTAAAATATATCCCTGAGTTTAAAAGGGTTTTCATCTTTATTCTGATAAAACTAAGTACTTAATATGTATTTTAATTTGAAACTGGGCGGTATTAGTGGCGCCACCTGTGCTGAGCTCTGTGAAACCTGGTGGCAACGCAAGCCAAAAATTCCAATAATCCTAAAAGTATGCTATAGAAAATGGGAGCAGTCAGCCTTTTGGCTAGGCTACACTTTATGTGATACTAGGCAAATGTTAATAAAGAATAATATATTTATTTAAAATAAAAAAGTAATTGTAAATAGATGTAAATAAACACTAGATAGTCAACTGTAAAGCGCAAGTATCGGCCTTTCTGTATTATATTAATAGATTATATTACTTAAGTCGCCCGCGCCATATCGATTATTCCTATCGATATCAGTTCCAGTTGGAAGTTTACATGGATTGCGCTCTCCAATCAGAGGCCACAAAATCACATTGATTAATCAAAACACAACGATCCCATTAGAATCCCACTGGACAATGGAAGAAGAGGTTATCGCATCGGAGAATTGGGTAACCGCCTCAGTCGGCGGAAAACTGCGGAACGATGAGAACGTGGATGCGCAGCGGAGCATGGGCAGTCTTGCTGGGGCTTCTGGGCATGCCCCAGTCGATATCTGGCGGTAATATTCTGGCCGTGTATCCGCACTTCGGTTTCAGCCACTTCAAGGTGGCGATGCCCATACTGAATGAGCTGGCGCATCGTGGTCATGACATCACGGTGATCTCGTACGTGACGAACCCCCAGGCCGGCGCCTATCCCAACTACAATGAGCTACTGATTTCGGCGCCTGGAGAGGATCAGTCGAGCACCACGATCAACCTGGTTCCGCTCACGGAGCACACGCCCACCAGATCCCTGATGGTTCTGATCCGGGAGTATGTGCTACTGCACCAAGAGGGTCAGAAGACCTGCGAGCACCTCTTCGCCAGTGGCCACATGGAACGGGCCATCGAGCGCCATCAGCACAAGCCCTACGATCTGCTGCTCACGGAATACTTCAACTCCGATTGCCAGCTGGCCCTGGCCAAGGTATTGAAGCTGCCAATCATCGGCTTGAGCACCTGTGCGCTGATGCCCTACTACTACGATCGCATCGATCTGCCCGACACGCCTGCCTTCATACAGTCGGAGTTCGTGGGATTCGCTGGCCAGCTGAACTGGCATGAACGGCTGCTCAACTTTGTGCAGGCCAAGTTGCTGAAGTTCCTGTACAAGTACCACTCCAACAGGGCGGACAACGAGCTGGTGCGCAGGTATCTTGGAGTGGAAGTGGATGTAGAGGAGGTGGCTCGAACCCAAACGGCGTTTGTGTTCGGAAACCAGCACTACTCCCTGATGGGCAGCCGCCCACAATCACTGCAGTTTGTGGAAATCGGAGGAGTACACATCACCACAAAGGCGCAGCAGGAGCTACCAGAGCATATCGCCAGTTCCTTGACCAGTCTGGAGAGGGAGTGATCTTTATAAGCTGGGGCTCCATGGTGCGGGCTTCAAGCATTGACGCAGACAAGCTGTCAGCCGCACTGGAGGTTCTGAAAGGCCAGCCGCTGAAGATCATCTGGAAATGGGAGGCGGACGAGCCACCCGTAGCAGATTCCGCCAAGTTCCTCTTCGTCAAATGGGCTCCCCAATTGGCGCTTCTGTGTAAGCAGGTTTCCAATTCTATCAAAACCAGTTATGCGTGGGCTATTTACATTTGAACTTTGAATCGCTTCCGCCTTAGGTCACCCCAAAGTAAAGTTGTTTTGGTCCCATGGCGGCTTACTTGGAACCACGGAAGCGGTGCATTGTGGCAAGCCCCTGCTAGTCACCCCCATCTACGGAGATCAGTTCCTCAACGCATACTCGGTGCAAAATCGGGGCATGGGTCTAAAGCTGGACTACCAGGACATCACCGTAGAAAACCTCAATAAAGCTCTCACAGAGCTGCGCAAAAACAGGTGCGTTTCGAATGTTTTTCACAAAAGCAAAGCACTAACATATTTCCTTGCAGCTACGCCCAACGATCTCTTCAGGTCTCCAAGGTGTTCAATGAGCGCCAGCAGACGCCACTGGAATCAGCCATTTGGTGTGTGGAACACGTCATTAACAATGGATTAGCCGCCGCCCAACTACTTCAATCTCCAGGCATAGAGCTGCATGGACTTGTCTACCATTCGCTGGATAGTGTAGCGCTGATCCTGATACCTCTAATACTACTGATCGTAGTCCTGTGCTATGTGTGCAAAGGGAGTCCACCGAAGTCCGTCCACAGGAAAGTTGGCAAGAAGGCCAAGAGATCGTAGTCTACTAAAATTTACGCACGACTTGACAATTTCTGTAACAACAAATATATATTAAGCATCTAGAGCGTCTAAGAGGACTTCCTCAGTAGCGCAGGCGTTGCATGCAATCCCTGCGACACTCCTCGAAGGTCAGGAAATTATTCTCAGTGGAGGCACAGCCCGTGTAGATGAAGCTCTCGCAGTTTCCGGTCTGCTTATTGTACGCATATCGCAGCTGCCGACCTCGGCACAAGCCAGGTGCCTTGGGCTGTCTGCAGGCTGCAATGAGCAAAAAGTCGTTGATATCTAGTTTATTGTTTAATAAATCCATGCCATACCTATTATCTGTTCGATCTGTTCGTGCGTCTGGTTTTCCATGCTGGGCAGACCCAACGACAGGCCCACGACCAACAGCAACAGCAGCCAAAGTTGCCTCCAGCTCGAAACGAAACCCATTTTGTTCAGTTCATAAATTTATATTCGGAGGTAATGCATCCACTTGGTCCTCCAGTTGCACTTTCGTTTTCCAGTTGCAGAGCTTCAGTTTTCCGTTGCGATCTGCACAAACGACAGTGACAGAATGTTCTCAGTTAATTTGAGTGGCATTTTGACTGATTTTTCTCGGCTGCCGTTCGCCTTCCGTTCGTCACGTAGTTGAGTTTCGTTTTGGCCAACTTCTTTTCCATTTCAGCCCTTGCGCTTCTGACTGCATATTTCCCGCTGCACTCTTCCCAGTGAAAACGTGCGCCCATATAGGAAGTACCTTGAAAAAGGTCAAGTTGAGTGGGCTGTTTTACATGCTGTAACAGCGCTGCTCAGTTCACATTGCACTTAAATAAATTACGGCGTTTACTGTGAGTGTCGAAATATGGAATATCTTATCTACTACAACCAAAGAAACCCATAGGTAGCAGTTTTCAAAACTTTCAAGACTACAACAGTTTATCGGATCAATTTGTTTATTCAATTTCTAACTGGTTTACTTAGACAGACAATTAAAAGGGCATGTTATTCGTACAAATAATAGACATGATCGCTAAGACTAATGAAAGACAGTAGAGAGGCCACATAGGATTTTCAGAAATGTGTGACGGAAGATCTTGGTCAAATGTTCTCTTACTGACTATAAGGCAACCCGATTTGTATGCATTAACAATGATGTGTAATAATATGTTAAAAATATTTAATAGATACAAATAGCAAAATTTATACAATGCACATGGCTAACAGAGCTCTAGAACAGAGTCACAGACCTACTTACAATTTACATCAATTCCAAGCGAACTAGACACATGTATCCTCATTATAAAATAATAGTTATAAACTCGTTAATAAATTCATTGCGTTGCACATCATGGGCATGGTATAACATCACGGAGACGTATGTATCTATAAATCTCGAATGGAGCTACGACGATGGATGATTGTGCTTTTGTGTCGGCCCTTGGCCTTGCGACTGCTACGTTTCTTTGTTTTTTGGGCAGCTTTCCGATGCGAGCTGCTGACTGTTGCTGTTGGCTTTGGCGTACATATGGCGCACTTAAGATCAATTTTCCTCCCTGGCTGTCATCTCTCTGGTTTTCCGCAGCAGAAGCGTTTAGAGAGCATCGTCTAGGAAACGGTTCCGATTCTCCTCAGAAGTCCTTGTCCCATCCAGTGACATCGTCTGGTGGTGGACCCTCTGGATCGGGCGGATAGTCATCAAAGTTTGTTGTGTCGACCACGCTTTTCACGGCGGGCTTAATGGGCGGTTCCAGGGTGCAGTTCTGCAGGCCCCACCAATAGAAGCCATCAAACCATCTGTGCGGGAAATAGTAAACTTGAGTATCTGTTTTATGTACTGTTTGAAATGGATCTTACTTGTGCTTCTGGATCTCACTGATTCCCCCACGCTGGTAGCCCAAACGCTCGGCGGGATTGTCGCGACAGAGCTTCTTGATCAGGTTGCTGGCATTGCGGGTGATATTCCGTGGGAATTCGATGGCGTCGATGCCCTTAAGTATAATGTTGTACGTGCGCATGGGATCCGAGCCCGTGAACGGAGGGGTACCTAAAATAACCAGCCGTTAATGAATATACAAATCATTTCGGTTCTTGAATCGTTTGCTTCACTCACCAGTAAGCAACTCGAACATGAGCACTCCCAGCGACCAGTAATCCGCACTGATGTCATGACCCCGGTTGAGAATCACCTCCGGAGCCACGTACTCCGGAGTGCCGCAGAAAGTCCAGGTCTTCCTGCCCGTCTGCAGCTTCTTGGCAAAGCCGAAGTCCACCAGCTTCACATATCCGCGTTCATTGAGCAACAGGTTCTCCGGCTTCAGGTCGCGGTAGATGATGTTACGCGAGTGTAGGTAATCAAAGGCCTCCACCACACACGCCGTGTAGAAGCGGGTGGTGCTGTCGTCGAAGTTGCCCTTGTCCCGCAGAATCGTCCAGAGCTCTCCGCCCAGGCAGCTCTCCATCAGCATGTACAGGTACTTCTTGTCCTTGAAGGTCTTGAACAGCTTCACGATGAACTGGCAATTGGCCTCGCCCATGATCTCCTTCTCGGACATGATGTGCTGCTGCTGTCGCGTCTCCACAATCTGCGACTTCTTCATCTGCTTGAGGGCGAAGGACCTGGAGCTATCCCCGTTAGTTTGGACCAGCTCCACGCGGCCGAAGCCTCCAACTCCAAGGGTTGCGATGACGCGCAGATCCGTGAGGTTGATGTCCCGGAATTCCTCGTTGATCCTGCAAGTGGATGGTTTGTTAGGCCATGAATTCAAACTTTTTAGTTGCGTCTATGATCAAGATAAGCTGAAGATCTTCACAGCCAATATAAAAGATTGCTTCATTACGGCTTGAAGACTATTAGAAACTAACATCTTGATTAAATCATCCTCTTCACCCAACTAATCATTTTTAATCTTCTTGCCGTACAATAACTACTAGTTTGAGTCAAATTGAGTGTGGTAATTTTGTATTGCCCGCACTTGACTATCCGGTAATTATAGTTTTAAAATCATCAACAAAAATTTGTTGATTTGGAGGTAAGTTCATTGACCTTGTTTTCGATTGATTCAATTCCTCATTGCTTATCTTGATTCGCGTGTGCTTCTTTTTAAATACTCGCTTACTTTCTGCGTTCCATGGCGCCCTCGTCGTCGTAGCGATGCTTGATCTCGTCCAGATTGGAAATGAGCTGATTGAAGGTCTCGCGATCGATGACCAGACAACTGACGCCATCGGCGGACTCGCAAATAATATTCGCCGTGCGCAGATCATCGCTAAATGAATACGAAACACATTAGTTATTAGAATACAGATAGTAATCTTTTCGACGAAACTCACCCCTGTAGAGCCTTTTCCCCAAAGAAATCCCCTTTGCCCAGCATGCGAATGAACTTCTCCTCCTGCGTGTCCTGCTGCTTGATCGTCACCCGCACCTTTCCCTTGGAGATGATGAAGAAGGTATCGCCTCTGGCGCCCTGGCGCACTATGTAGTCGCCTCGCTGGTAGTGCGTCTCCTCCAAGACATCGGAGATTTTGATGAGCGTGTCTTCCGCCAGGTCTTTGAAGATGGGCACACTGTAGGTAGATAAGAAAACCAAAATTGTTAGTTTCGTTCGAGATAATCGCAGTTGCAGGCCAAAGAAAGTGCTGTAATTAGTGGCCGAGCCAAGTTCGATCTAGATAAGAGAATTCCACGGTAATGGGAATCTATTGGTGACCTACATCGATCTTCAAGCTGAATGTCGCACCTGAACTCCTCCCATTACGGTTTTCCCTCCGGCTGGCATTTTCCTGTGTGCATCGCACACATCTTTTATGGTTACACTCAACAAAAACATGAGCAAGTTACCACGTAACCACTGTTTCAGCTAAGTTTCTGTGCAATTCATATAAATCAATTGGCAGTTTGTCTATTAAACATTTTCGTTTCTGGCAAACTTTAAAGTATCTTTTCTATTTGAAGTAGAGTGGAAAATTCCCAAACTATTTTCTCCAACTGTAGAGCAGCGTAATCGAAGCTGATCTCCTCCCATTCTGTTTTTTCCCGCTGGCTAGCATTTTTTCAGTGAATGCTCACATGTATCTGGAGTCTATAGGTAGCAAACTAGCAGTTGCAGTTGCAGCTGCAGTATCTGTATCTGAATCTGTGATCATCGTCATCATCAGCCCATTGCACTTTCATTTTCAATCTGCTTTTTCCGCTACTTCTCGAATCTGGAATAGGCAACGAGTGCATGGTCGAGGCCTCAATTATGGTTTTTAGCAGTTTTTACGGACGACCAATTAAACGCGATTAATTTGCCGGTCACTCCGGAGAGGCGGGAGCGACTGGAGATGGAAGTGAGACTGGAAACCGCACAGACTTGGCCAAAAAAAAAAGAAACTGGTTGCCACGGCTGCCATCGGGAATGAAATTTCTATGCGTTCGTTGGCCGCAGCCTCAAGTTTAGCTGAAGTGAGTTTTCATTTGAGTTTGAGCCACTGCACGTCATATGGACGCCCAACACCATGACGATGACGATGGCGATGGCGATGACGATGACGAGATGGCCATAATGCTGCATTCGATCTGAAGAGATGCCGTCGATGGGGCCGGCGGTGAAAGTTACCTTACTTTATTCGCCATACCTTGCACGATTTGAACACATAAATCGAGCGGGCTAAAAAAATCCTTAAGCTAAGCGATTTTTACATTTGCCATTATAGAGTAATGGCCATACACGAACTGCTCTGCGGAATTGATATAATTAAGTGCAAATGAACATTAATTACACCCAAATTGCAAGTAACCAGTCGCCACAGGCTCAGAGGCTCATTGAAATGCACATTAAATTGCAGATTGGCAATGGGGAAGTCTCGAGAGGAGTGGCCAAGGAGGCGGAGGAGGGCCAACTCACCTCTTGAGGAAGTCGCTGTACTCCGCCTGCCGGATCAGGCCCGTTCGCATCATGATGGTCTGGAAGCACTGGCGCTCGATGGCCCACAGATTGCACTCGGTGATCGCGGTGATGGTCGCCGTTCGCTGGCAGTTGTACAGGATCGCCAGTTCGCCAAGGACCTTTGCGCCCGACAGGGTGGAGAGGTACTTGCCCTCGCGGGAAACCTCCACGCGTCCATCTGGGGGGAAAATGGGAACATTAATTGGATGCTTCTAAACTGTTTCGATAATAAACCCTATCCTACTGCAATCAAAGACTACTATGCCCATCCTGACTACAACTGACAAATATAAATCCTAGGGAATTTACCCTGCTCTGCTTCCTCCTCCTGGCCACCACTGGATTGCTCCTTGAGATTTCCCGTCCTGCGTCGACGGGCGTATGTGTGCACTGGAACGATGAGGCGGGGTCGTGGGATGCAGAAACCCTCCCCGTTGAGATCCTTGGAGCTGCCATTACTGCTGGCAGCCGGTGAGATTTGTGGACTCTTTTGACGCACAGCCACCTGCCCCTCCAGTTTGAGTCCCTCGATGGCCTGCTCCAGACTGAGACGTCTCAGGGAAGCGGTGGAGTCCCTAGTTCTGGCCACGCTTCGGCTGAACAAAGTGTTCTGGTTGGGCATTCTAACCGTGGCGTATCGCTGAACCGAAGTTTGTGATCTGCTCAGGGGTTTCGTGACCCTTTTTGGTGGCTCTGGAGGCGGTTCTCTGGGTGGCGGAGCCATCAGTCGCTGTGGCTGCTGGCAGATCACTACTTGATCCTGGGAGTCCTCTGCAGCCGAGGAGAAGGTGGAGTAGGCGGAGGAACTGTTGCTGAGAGTCTCCTTGATTTTCGGGGGCGATCTCAAGGTGGCATAACTGGGCGGTTGCGACATGGTTTGGGAGCGACGCAGGGAAGGCGGTTTCACGGAGAACTGTTGCCGCGGTCTCGGCACCCTTGGTCTCTCTGTGG